AGGGCCGGCGCGCCCCGGGGCCTGAGGCGGGTCTGCGTGGGGCTCCCTTCTCCCCGGGGGGCCCTTCCCAGCGGGCACACTGGGGACCCTGGCCCGGGCGGGCGCGGGGCTCACAGGATGCGTGCCATCTCCTGGTGCAGCTCCTGCAGCGACTGGAGCAGGCCGGGCAGCAGGAGCTGGTGGTGGTGCTGGTGGTGCAGCTGCGCGGCCCGCACGCCCAGCACGTAGCGGTTGTGGTGGGCCAGGAGCTTCCAGAGGCTGCGCACGTACTTGTCCTTGGCCTTGTCGCGGTCCTTGTCTGCCAGGTAGAGGCGGCAGATGGGGACGGTGCGAAGGCTCGGGTAACTGTAGCCCCGGGGCCCCTAGGGACCGGCCAGGGCTGGTTTAGGGCCCCCTCCCTGCTGGGGGGAAGCCACCGACCTTTGCTGGCCTCCTGGTACTTGCGCCGGGCCTGAGCACTGTCCCGGGCCAGGGTGCGGTACTGGCTCTTTAGCTTCTCTATGTCCTGGCTGTGGGTCTGTAGAGGGGAGAAGCCAGTGTAGGCAGCAGGCGCCCAGGGGGCAGGCAGGGCTGCTGGGCCTGCGGAGGGCCGGGTGCGCCTCTGGGAAATCGGCCCTGAGGTTAAGGCCGAGGGTGGCACAGCCCCACCCACGGGAGGGCCCCGTGCTTGCCTCTGGCCTTGTGGACACTACCGTGAAATTCTTAGAGGCTTGGGAACCAGCGTCCCACATTCCCACCCACTGTCCCTGCAGGCAGGAACCACCAAGGGTCAAGACCGGCTCCCGAGTCTATGCGCTGTGATACTTCGGTGAGTGCCACCTCGCTGCTCTGGGCCTCAGTTTCCCCATCTGGAAACTAAACGCACAGACTAGGTCAGACTTCCTCTTACTGAACCAGATGGCAAACATTTCGGGCTTGTGGGCCACACGGTCTCTGTTGAAATTACTCGAGTCTGTGGCCTCAGCTCCATAGTAGCCACAGATGAGACGACACTAAGGCTCTGTTCCAGGAAGCCCGATAGACCCCGCTGAGCCCTGAGTTAGCTGAGCTTCCAGGAGAGGGGAGGGCCAGGCTGGCCACCAGGGGCCGCTGTGGGCCACGGCCTGGCTGGGTTCCTGGGGGTGGTAGGGGGATGAGCCTGGGGTGGGGATGGGGGGCAGATCAGTGCACTCAGGGAGACTGGAGCCCCCAGGCCATAGCCAGTTCCAGTCCCGCAGCACCTGGAAGCGGAGTGGGGGGGAGGGATTGTACCCCAGGCAGCTGGACTTCCAGTCCCCAACCTCTGCACTAGCAGGGGTGCTGGGCTGCCTGGGAGGAACCCGCGGGGGCCGGGGCAGACAGACGGGCCCTCCCTGCCTCTCCTCCGAGGGCGGGCTGGTGCAGCGGGGCCCCGACCCTGTGCGCCTCGCGGGCTGGAGCTGGCTGGCGCCTCCGGCATCCCTGCGCTGCCTGGGCACACGGCAAGGCGGTCCAGAGGCCGGCCCCGCTGCCGGAGCCCCGCGGGGGGAAGCTGTGGTCAGCAGCTCTTACTTCCTCCGTGAATCAGGGCTCTTGGGAGAAATATGGCGTTTTAGGCTCAACATTCTGGCAGGAATGATGGGGTGCAGGCCGCGCCGCCCCCCACCTTGGTGAGCTCCTGCTGCAGCTGCTGCCACTGCTCGCCGTAGGCCCTGCGCAGCTGCTGCCGCTCCCGGATCAGCAGGCTCAGCTTGCTCAGCGGCCCCGAGTTCAGGTCCTCCGCGTGCTGGCGCAGCAGCCGGCTCAGGCCCTCCGTCTGGCTGGTGATCTCTGCCCAGGACTGCAGCACAGGGGGGCAGGCAGGGCATGGGGGACAGCCGCTCCCCTCTGGGCCTGCCAAACCCCCCACCCCTTGGGCTTTGGGAAAGGAAGGGGCGGGCGGGCGCAGCCAGTACCCCCACGGAATTCCTCCAGCGGGGGGTAAGGAGGCCTAGGCCCCTGGAGCCCCACCTGGCTGATGAGGCTGTCAGGGCCCAGGCCGCGGCCCTGGCCCCCGCTGTCCTGCAGGGACATGTGGTGCAGCAGCCCTGCGTACTCCCTGTCACTCTTGACCCGCTGGGCCATCCACTTCCGCATGCCCTCCAGCAGCCGCAGCTCGGCCTCCTGCATCTGCTGCAGTGCCCCGTGGCCCTGGGGGCTGCACAGCTCCGAGGAGAAGCCCATGGTGCTGCCTGGGGAGAGAGCGGAGAGGCCATGACTGGACGAAGGCGGCGTCTGGAGGTGGAGGGGGCCAGGGGCCCGCCGACCAAGAGGACTTGCCCCTAGGCGGCAGGTGGGGGCTGCTGTGCCTGGCCTGAGACTGGCCCTGGCCTGAGACTGGCCCTCGAGGCCTCCTGCGGCCCCCAGCAGGCCCTGGCCCCAGGGGTCCCCTTCCCAGCCCCGGACCTGGAACTACCCGGTAGCCTCCCTCCCTGGGGCTTCCACCCGGCACCCTTCGCGGGGGTGGAGCACACGGGCAGCGGCGCGGCCTGCCAGTGTGGCCCCCACCTGCCGTCCGCCCTGCCCGGCACGTCCGGGGCCTGGGGCCGGCTCCTCGCAGCCCCTCTCCCCGGCTCCCTAGCACCCGCACCCTCCTGCCCCGAGGCGCAGTGGAATTACCGCGCGGCCACTGCTCCTGGGCCGCCGAGCAGGGACTCCGGCCCGCGACCTCCGGCCAGTTCCTGCTCAGCGCTTCCTCCTCGGCGGTTTCAGTTGGCCCAGGCCCCCGGGGCGGGCCCGCCGAGGGGAAGGGGCGGGCGGGAGCCGCAGTCCTGCCGGCCCCCCTGGCCCGCGGCTGCTGCTGACCCGCGGAAACGGAAGGGAGGAGGAGCTGCGAAGAATGGCCGAGGGAGCCCACCCCGCAGGCCCGGCGGGGAGTCGGGGATCCTAAGCCCCCCGAGGGCCAGGGTGGCCCCTCAAGAGGAAGGGGAGCCCAGCCGGCGCCGAGCTCACCCGCAGCTCCCCCAGTGGAGCTCAGCCGCCAGGCTCCGCTCGAATAAAGCTCCCCGGCCAGATCCCAGGAGAACCCGCTCCCGGGCGCCTCCCCCGTCCCCAGGAAACTGGGGCTGTGGGGGCCTGGGTTGGGGAGAAAGGATCTTCCCCGGCGGAACTCAGGCCTTTCTCAACAAAAGCCATCTTGGCTCGGGGAGGCCCCTCGAGGGCCCCGGCCTCAGTCCTGCTGCCAGTTGGCCCGGCCGCTTCCGCCAGGTTGGACCAGAGCAGGCGCCCGGGCTCCCTCAGCAGCCCGGCCCCAGGCAGGGGCTCCACTCCCCTCCCAGGGCCCCTGCCCAGCCCCCGCTGCCCAGCCCCAGCTGCCGTCTCCTTCCACACCCTGCCGCTCCCTGAACAAGGCCCTGGAACCCCACAGGAGTCAGACTCTGGCGCCCCGAGTTGGGCCCTTCCAGAGACAGCGAGGACGTCGCTTCCCCCACGCACTCAGGGGTCGCCGGAGGAAGAGGATCACCACGCTGGAGACGGGGCCCTGGTTTGCATAGTCTGCACGTTTAATCACCTTTAAACTAATGGTATCATCTGTGTCCATTAAATAGAGCAAACAATACTGGGCCTTTTAAATTACAAGAAAAAAATCACCGTGTGCCAACCCAGTATCTTACAAAACCAGCTGGGCTGGCCACAGGTTGGGGGGAGGGGGCACCCCTGGCAGGTGGCTGGGTGGTACCAGGAAGGTCTGGGCGAAAGAACAGGGGGCTCCCGGATGGGAGGGGACTGATTGTCCTAATGGGCGGGGTGCAAAGGCACGTCAGAAGAAGAGGACTTGGGGCAGGACGGGTCGGTGCCTCTCCGCCAGGGCACAGTGTTGGCGGGGCTCGGGGCCACCGCCTGCCCACCCCTGGCACCTGGAGAAGCAGGACCCCTGAGCCCTTGGCACGACGAGCCCCATCTAAGACACAGGCCAGCCTGGCCCTGCGCTGCCACCCCTTCCTGGGGCCTGCCCGGCTGCCTGCCTCTGCGGGGCCGGGGCTCAGCTCCTCTCGCTCCTCAGCAACATGCAGCCGCCCCGCCACCCCAGGCCAGGGCAGCCAGAACAGCAGGTGGACGGTGGGCGGTGGGCGTGGGAGGTGGAGGGTCCAGCTGCTACCCCCATTGAGAATACAAAAAAAAAAAAAAAATCAGCATCTAAAGTGAAATAATTACCAAGTGAAAATAGATCCTCAAACAGCCCCTGAGATCCCCACAGGGGAAAGCAGCATCGGGTGGGAGGCAGGAGCGGCCGGCTGGGCCACCGCCCCTCCCTACCGCCCACCCAGGGGCTCTGGGACTGTGAGTGCCGACAGCCCAGGCAGCCCCGGGCTCAGAAAACAGGGACTCGGGCCCCGGCCAGCCCCGCTCCCGGGCGGCCAGCCGGGTGGAGGGGGCGGAGGGCCGGGCCTGCGTGTGCCTGGAAGCACCTGCCGTCCTTGGTCCCTCCCTTCCGCCCCCGCTGTCGCCGCAGGGGGTGCTCCCTGGCGGGGGGCCGGGGCCGGGAGGAGAAAGCCCTTGGCGAGGTGGCCGTCTCCTCCCGTCGCCCCCAGCCGCCTCCCTGCTGCCTGGGTGGGGACCATTATTGCTTCAGAGGGCGGGGAAGGGACGGGGCAGCTCCCGGGTCAGGAGCCCCTAAAGAGAAGGGGGCGCCGCTCCCCGCAGGGAATACTGCTGGGCCGGGGGCTGCCCCCAAGGGTTCACTCCTTTCTCCACGAGGAAGGGGTGGGTGGCAGGGTGAGGGCCCCTGACCCCCTGGGCTTGGGCCCCCCTCAGGCAGCCGGAGGGCCCCGAGGGAGGGTGGGAAGCGGTCTCTGTCCCTCCTGCCTCCCCGCTGGGGCCCACACCCGGTCCCAAGATACAAAAATACTTTGGTGAATTAAAAAGTGCCCGCGGAGGGTGGCCTGGAGGGCGGCAGTGGCGCTGTCAAAGGGCGCTCTGGTCTTTAATGAAGGCGGTCCTCTCGCCCCGGCCCTCGTCCTCGTCGGAGTCGGACGGGCACTCCTCCTGCCAGGCCTCGGGGGGCAGCCCCTTGTAGGAGACGAGGCCGCGGTCCATGGTGTACACCTTCACGCCCCGGAAGCTGAAGCCGGAGCGCAGCTGCAGGACCAGGAAGATGGTGACGAAGACCAGCACGATGAAGGCGCAGCTGAGGCCGGCCACCACCTCGGGCAGGTGGGAGGGCAGCAGCCCCGTGTGCAGCCTGGGCGCGACCTCCACCTCGGGGTTCCGCGAGGGCGGCGACTCCCGGCTGCTCTGGCTCTGCCGGGAGCACATCTGCTCCACGGGGTCCAGGGAGGCATGGCTGGGGCAGCTGAGGCAGTCTGTGGGGGCTGGCCCCCGGCAGGTGGCACACGAGCTGTGGCAGGGGGTGCAGACGCTGGCCCGGATGGTCTCCACGTCGTTCTCAGTGCTGTAGTGCGTGTCCAGGAGCTGGGGGGCGGAGCCCGCGGGGCAGTGCTGGACACAGCTCTTGCGGTGCAGGGAGAAGCCTTCCTCGCACACTGCGGGCGGCAAGGGGGCGGCTGTGACCACGGGGCTGCGGGCGGCCCCAGCACGGCCCCCAGACTCCCCCAGAGCCAGGTGCACCCTCTGTTCCCTGCCCCGACTCCCGCCAGCCCCCGCTACTGACCCACACAGGCCTGGCTGGACGTGAGGGTCTTGCAGCCGCTGCTCTCGGGAGGTGGGGGCGGCCCCCCGGGGGCCGTGCCGTACAGCACAAGGGTGAATTTGGTCAGTGTTCCTATTTGAGGGTGGGGAAGAGACAAGAGTTAGCGGTGCTGCCCCCAGACGCACCCCCAGCCCGCGGCGTCACCCCCATACCATAGTTGTTGGCTTCGCTGGTGTTTTCAATCTCCAGGACCCACTCGCCAGAGGGGTCCTCGTCCCAGGAGTGGGTGGTCATGAAGGCCCAGTCGTTAAAGCCGTCCGCGGAGTAGTCGTGTGGCCTGGGGGGAGGCGCACATGTCGCCCGAGCTCCCAGCCCGGGGCACCCTCCCAGCCGGGTGCACACGCCGCGGCCTCTCCCCCAGGAAGGCAAATGGCCTCAACCAGGTTCTTGGCACGGGCTGGTGCGCCACACCCGGCAGCCAGCGGTGGAAGCCAGGGTCCCGGACAGCGGGGGTCCCGTGGGGTGAACCCCCTCCCAGGGCCCTCGAGACTGGGAGACCTCGGTCGCGTGACCGGCCGCGGTGGGGGCACGTGAGCGATGCGCGTGAGAGACGGGCAAGCACCTGGCGGCCAGCAGGGTGGAGCGGGTGCCCATGGGGCTGACCAGGTGGATGGCCAGGTCGCCGCGGCGGTTGTAGGACAGGGTGAGCCGCGCCTGAGCGTGCTCCAGCCGGGTGACGTGGCTGGGCTCCCCCCGGCAGGCTGTCACTGTCTTCCGCACCTCGAGCCGCTTCCCGATGTCCCTGTGAGAGCGAGGGGGGTCAGTCACCCGCCCGCCCCGGGAACGGCGGGCGCCCCCCGGCCGGCTCCAGCCCTCACCGGGGCTCCGTGAGGATGTCGATGATGCACTTGCGCTGGGGGGCCACCGTCGTCCAGTTCCGGGCCAGGGCCACCATGGCGCCTGCGTCCAACAGCCCGTAGCCATACGAGTGGCTCACTGCGGGGCAGGAGCGGGGAAGGCGGTCAGGGGAGGCCGAGCCCCGGACCCCCCCACCCGTTCCGCCCCCGACCGCGCCGTCCTCACCTTTCCGGCCCACGCCGTTGGTGGCCCAGTCATTGGCGTTGAGGTGGGCCGGCTTCGAGGTCTGCACCACCAGGTGCTGCATGTCCCGCCAGGTGAGGTTCTTACTGCGGTGGGGGGGGGGTGAGGAGGGGGGGAAGTGGGGCTCAGTCTCTGAGGAGGAGCGGGGAGCCAGGCCGCCCGGGGGAGCGCACTCACTTGGCCTCCAGGGTGAGGGCGATGATGCCGGCAGCCAGGGGCGCGGAGGCCGAGGTGCCCGTGTGGGACTCCGTGCACTTCTGCCGCAGGTCGGTGGTCACCTGCGGGGAGCGCGTGCTGGGCTGAGGCGACCCGAGGGCCACCCAGAAGCGCCCTCTGCCCACAGCCCTGAGCACCCCCAGGGTCCCCACTGGCACCCTGCTAACTTGCTGGGGCCGGGCCGGGCCCCCCCTTCTGGCCTCGGGGACCCCAGGAACAGGGAGCCCAGCTCCTGAGGGGCAGCGGCTGCGTGTGGGGCCCGACGGGGCGGAGGACTCACGATCTGCTTCTCGTTCTGGCCGCCGCTGCTGTAGGTGGTGGCCAGGGTGGACGAGCAGGCCTCGCTGTACCAGGGCACGTTGCCCAGCTGCGTGGCGCTGCTGATGGACAGCGTGTAGATGCTGTTGGTGTAGCCGTCGCAGTTGCAGCTGTCGTGCTCCCGGCCGCCGTTGCCGGAGGCCCAGACGAAGATGGAGCCCAGCCCCCCGCGGCCCTGCAGACAGAGCGCGCTGGGGTCGCTGGGGAACAGCGGGGCGGGGGTAGGGGCTGGGCGTGCAGAGGGGACGCCAAACAGAGGGGGCTGCCGGAGGCCGAGGCTTGTTCTCCTGGCGCCCGCCTGTCCCCAGGCCCCCGACGCCCCTGGCGGGTCAGGTGTACGTGCAAACACGCCTGTCTGGGCGCAGACGAGACCCAGGCCACCCTAAGTGGTGGTCTCCGGGGGGAGGGAGGGATTTCTATTTGCTTCCTTCCGCTGTCCTAGACCCCGAGCGTTCTGGCAATCACGCTTGGAGCAAAGCGAGAATTACACGCGAGTTAGACAGGGACGGGGAAAGCGAGGGCCGGCGAAGACGGCTCCCTGCTCACCTGGCTGACCCCCCGGAAGAAGGCCTCCTCGGCGAGGCGGGCCGGCCCGTCCACGGTCTTGCCGTCGTCCTCGGGGCCCCAGCTGGCGCTGTAGATGTGGATGTGGTTGGGGTTCAGGCCCAGCGAGCGCGCCTCCACCGCGTCCGTAACCTCGCCGTCCAGCATGCGCACCCCTGCGCAGGGTGGGGGTGGAAGGGTGCTGCCTGGGTCCAGCTGCCAGGGGTGCCCCTGGAGCACTCCCAGCCGTGCACCCCAGGGGAGGGCAGGGGTGTGCAGGCCCCTGACCCCTGGGCCAGCTCCTGCCTTCCACAGGCCAGAGCCAGGGCAGGAGAACTGGCCCAGCCCCCACCGCACCCCAGGACGGGGAGTTGGGGTCTCAAGGGAGCGTGGGGCTCCAGGCCTGCCACAGAAGGACTCGGGAGACCCCGCTCGGGGGCACTCCGGCTGCCTGCCCTGGGTCCGGATCTGCCCTGGTGCGAAGGCGCCGCGGGCGGTGGCGCGCACGGCCCAGGAGAGGGGCAGGGGAAGGTCCCGCGAGGGCCCTCCCAGGGCGGCAGCCGCGGGCACCCACCTCCGATGCGGGCGTTGAAGGCCACGCCGACGCCGCAGACACCGTTGTTGGCCACGGCAGCCACCTCCCCCGCGCACCGCGTGCCGTGCCTGCCGGGGCCCAGAGCTCGGCGTTAGCAGGTGGCGGGGCGGGCCCAGTGGGGAGGCCCCGCCCCAGCTGGCCACGCGCGCTCAGGCCCAGGCGCAGCCCGGCTCCCCACCCAGGAGGGAGACCGAGGCCCGAGCGGCTGTTTCGTACCGGTTGTCGTTCATCTGCGTGTACCGAGGCTGGGGGTCGGGGTCCTGGTCGTTGACGTCGAAGCTGGCCCCCGGATCCTGAGAGGGAGCAGCCGTGCTCAGGGGGCCTGGCCTGGTGGCAGGAGGGGCACCCGAGCCCCGCCCCCACGTCCCCCGCGCCCGCCTCTCACATAATTGCCTGCCAAGTCCGGGTGGTTCTTCTCGATGCCGTCGTCCAGGATGGAGACCACGATGCCGCGTCCCGTGTAGCCCTGCGCCCAGGCCGCCTTCACGTTCAGGTCCCGCTGGCCGACGCCGGACTGCAGAGACCCCGCCCCCCGCACTCAGCAGGCATGTGGGTTGTGCGGGGTTGCGGAGTCCTGTCAGCACCCCAAAACCTCTGGCTCCGCCCGCCCCGCTCTAAAGGCCGCTGCTGGCTGGCTGGGCACCCAGGCCCCACGGCCACGTACCAGGTACCACTGCTGGGGGAACTTGGGGTCCGTGGGCTCCTGGTACACATCCCGCTTGCTCCGCCGCTTCGCCACCTGCTGCTCCAGCCACCGGACCTGCGGGGGGGGGGGGACAGGGTGTGGGCGGGGGAGGGAGGCGCGCTCCCCGCTCCCCCCACCCCCGAGAGCTGGGGGAGGGCGGCGGTGGGGGGGGGCTGGGGCCGCTCACTTGAGGCTCCCTCTCCAGCCGGCTGTGCCGCAGGCGGTGAGGTGACAGGGACCGCTTCGTCACTGCTCGGTGCCAGAAGTGGTAATAGTCGCCGAAGATCTGCAACGGAGCAGGAGCGGGGCTGGGCGTTCCATCTGGCAGTCCCCGGGGGGCGGGAGGCAGGGTGGCAGCCGCCAGGTGGAGGTTCACCGGGCGGGGGGGCTCTGCTTCCTGTCCAGCACCCGGAAGGGGGAACGGGGCCAGGAGGTGCCTCTCCCCGAATACAGTGGTCCTCTGAGCCACCTAAGCTAGGAGTAAGGGCAGGCCCCCCATCCCAAGGGCTACCAGAACGCCGGACCCCCACCCCTGAAAAGACTGGGCCCCCCCATGCCTTGCGCTGGGCCAGCATGCGGCAGGCGAACCTACCTGGCCCAGGTTGAGGAAGCCATGCTTGCGGGCCACGCTGTCAGCCACGGACGGGCCTCCAGGAACATGCACCGCCCACGTGTTGGTGAAGACCTTCTGGCCACGGGCTTCGGCCACCAGCAGGAGCAAGACCCCCGCCGCTGCTACCACCCATAGCACCCGGGGCCTCAGCTCCATGGGGGGGGCAGGTGACCGGGACCCCGGCGCCCCCGTCTCCGTGGCCTGGTCACAGGGCCTGGGCTCCCGCGTGCCTGCTCGCTGCCCGTGGCCCGGGGCCGGCTGGCGGGGGCATGGGGCCGAGGTGGGCACGGCGAGGACAGGAGGCGGAGAGCTGGCGGCTCTGTGGGGACAGGGGAAGGAATGGGGAGGGTCAGTCCCCGTCCAGCTGCGCCCTGGGGGGCTCTGGGGCGAGGGGTCGGAACGTGACCCAAGGTCTGCCCGCTGGATGGACAGACGGACGCCACACGAGAACCGGGGCGCGGGAGGAGCTGGTTCTGGGGCTGGCGGCGGGGGCCGGGCGCGGCACACTGACACCCCACCCCACCAGGGCAGGGCAGAGCTGGGAGCACCGTTTCCTCGAGGGGGGGATCACGCCTGCCTGCCCTCTCCCCTGGGGTCGGAGCAGGTTTTCCAAAACTACCCAGTTGTATTTGATAAAAGAATAAAATGTTGGCTTTCCAAAGTTTGTCAGGGGCAGCGTCTGCGCAGCGCGTTTCCTGGCTCAGCAAAGCAGGCGCGGCCCCAGGGGGTGCCTGCCGAGACCCTCGGCCCGGGAAGCGGGGGCAGCCCTGGGTGGCGCTGGTTTGGTTTTCTCCGGCCGGGCGCCTTCGGCACTGTCTCCTGGGAACAGCGAGCCTGCGGCCTGGGCCTGGACGCCCCGCAGCCCCCTCGCTCGCCCACGCCCACCGGTCTTGCCTAACCCGCTCCGGGCCGCCAGGGCCAACAGCCGCCGGGCCAGGCGCGCCAAGGTAAGGCTGGATCAATAGTCTTGTTGTTTTTCCTCCTTCGGCAAACAGACAGCGGGGCCTCTGCCCGGGTCACGTAACTGTCCCCACGGACGGCCCCCGACTAGCCAGAAGCCAAGCCCCGGGGTGGGGGGAAGCTAAGGGAGGTCCCCGGGGGGCCCTGGGCTTGCTCTCAGGCCTGTCCACGGGCCGAGCCCCTCCACTACCTCGGCTGCAAAGAGGCCGCTCTCTGCCACCAGCTCAGCAGGCCCGCGGACTTGGTGCTCGAAGCCCCGGCTCCGGCAGGGCTGCCCTGGGCCAGACCAGCCTCCCTGGCGACGCTCGGGCTGCCGCTGCTGCCGTCCCACCCTGCCGCCGGGGGGACGCAACCCAGTTCCTGGAGTATTTTCAGTTTACACCAAAATAACCTGACAGCTGAAGGCAGGAGGCGGCCGGCCACACTGCAGCTCCTCCTCACCCGGGGCAGAGTCCACCGGCTCACTCCGGGCCTGCAGCCACAGCCCAGGACGCCTTGGCAGGGCACATCCAGCCCTAGGGGGTGAAGGGACCCCAAGTCCCCATGTAACAGGAGCTGTGGGGCCCTGGGGACGGAGCCAGGTTAGAGCAGGGCCTCTTCCCCCGGAACTGCCACCCCGCCGGGGCCTCCTGGGACCCCAAGTCAGCAGCACCGCCAGCCCCGCGGGAGCCCCCAGGCCTCGACTGGGTTCACCTGGGCCGAGCCCAGCACGCGGCGGAAGAGCTGCAGCTGCGGCGACGGCAGCCGACCCGCCATTTCATCACCTGGCAGCCCCGGAAAGCAAGCGAGACGCAGACACCACCCCGGGACCCCCAGGACCCCGCCTGCCTCCCTCTGCCCGGCTCCCCAGCCTGCTGAGGGGGGGCGCCAGGCTCCAGGACGGAGGGGCGACCCCTCCCCAAGAGCAGGAACCGGGAACAATGAATGAATGGGGTCCCCACCCCGCCGGACTGACTCACCCGCTGAGTCCCCGACGGCTACCAGGAGGCCCGCGCCTCTGGGCCTCTCCCGCGGGAGCCTCCACTCAGGTCAGCAGAAGGGTGGGCGCCCCTCCCCGCCGAGCCTCGGCACCTCCCAGCAGACACCCCCAGGCGCCCCAAGGCGCCGACCCCGGGCTCTGGGGGCCTGCGGGCCGGGGCTGCCCCAGACACCCGCTCCGTGTCCTTCCAGCAGACTCGGCCGGCCGCGGCGCCCGCTCCCCTGGAATCCTGAGGTGCAGCCCGTGACGGCGGCCCCCGCGGCGCCCCCAGGTCCCTCCCCTCCCGGGCCTCAGTTTCCCGGCCGGCACCGCCGGGCCGCGAGTTTCCAAACTTTCCCCAACCGCAGAGTCCGTCTCAAAAAATCGCATCTACCGCGGACGCCCCGAAACCGGAAATAGGAAACGGGGCGTCCTGGGCGAGCCGGCCGCGCCCCCCGCGCCCCCCGCGCCCCCCGCCCGCCGCGCGCCCCCGCCGGCCCCGGGTGGGGTGGGGGTGGGTGGGGGCGGGGGCGGGGTGCCGCGGCCGGGCGGGCGCCGGGCCTGGGGCGCCTCAGGGCCGTGGCGCAGGCCGCGCGCGTCAGGCAGCCCCGCGGCGGCGGCCTCCGCGGCCCTGACGCGCCCCCGCACCTGCGCCCGCGCCGCCCAGGTGTGCGGGGACCCCGCGCCCCCCGCCGGCCGCCCCCGGGGCGCGAGCGCCCGGCCCTGGGGTCCCCGCCGCGCCCGAGGCCGCCCGGGCCGCGCGCTCAGGTGGGCCCCGCGCCCGCGGCCCGGCCGGGAGAGGCCCCCGCGCGCCCCCGCGCCCCCCGCGCCCTCCGCGCCCCCCGCGCCCCCCGCGCCCGCCTTACCCGGGCCGCGCGGGGAAAGTTGCCGGGGCGCCGGGGCGCGGGCCGCAGGCCGGGCCTCTCGCGTCCCCGCGGCGTCCCGGGCGGCGGCGGCCTCGGCCCGGCCCGGACCCGGCGGCGCGGCCTGGCCTGGCTCGGCGGGCGGGGGAGCGGCCGGGCCGCGGCGCGGCTTGTTTACTCGGCCGCTGTCAGCGCGGCGGCGCCGGCTCCTCCCCGCGCCCGCCGCCCGCCGCCCGCCGCCCGGCCCGCCCCGCCCCCCCGCGCGCCCCGCCCCGCGCGCCCGCCCGCCCGCCCCGCCCGCGGGGAGAGCCGGGGCGCGAACCCGCATCCCGGCGCGCCCGAGCAGCGCCCGTGCCGCGGGCCGGGGGAAGAGGCCCCGCCAGGAGCCCGGCCGGCCGTCGGCGCCGTCCCCGTCAGCGGGAGCCCGCGGGCCGCGGGGCCCAGGACGGCCCGGCCCGGAGAAGCCCCCCCCCACCCCCGCCGCCCGGGCCTCGGCGGCCCCTCTGTGAACTGGGCGCTCTGCTCAGTCGGGGGCGCCCCGGCCCCTCCACCCCGTGGCGGGACCTTCTCCCGCTCCCAGGAGCAGGTCCGGGGCCACCCCGGGCGGGCGCCCCGCGAGCTGGCGGAGCCGGGGACGAGGAGAACGAGGCCCGCAGCCGGCGGAAGTGAGTCACCTGGTCCTCGGCCCGGGCAGGCCTGTGGGGAGGCAGGGCCGGGCCTGGCCTCACCTGGCCTGGGAGTCCCGGGCCGGCCTGCGAGGCCCGGTCTGCAGGCCCGGTCAGGCCACAGGGACGGCGAGGCCTACGGGCGGGTGCGTCTCAGGAGGAGGGGCTGGGCTGGACCTCCCGGGGCTGCCACCCCACAGAGGCGCCAGCCGCCCCGCACCCCGCCTCCGGCAGGAGCTGACTTTGGAAGCCGGCGGCTCAGGCAGGGCTGCACCCCGGCGGCAGGAGCAGAGGGGCCAGCGGGCCCCTGTCCTGGGTTCCTACTTAGCCCCCCACCTACTTTGGCAACAAATGTGTTGCAGAGGAGACACCCCCACCCCCAGACCCTGGGGTGAGGGCTGGTTTGGAGCGGGCTGCCAGCTTCTCCCTTATCTCCCTGCAACAAGGCCTGTGGGCAGGCGCCTTCATCATCCCCGGGAGCGAGGCTGGCCCAGGAGCCGGGTCCCTGGCGCCCCGGGCCACGGACCCAGGTTATCAGTGTTCCACCAAAGTTAGTGGGCAGGGGGCCGAGGGGGGTAGCACCTGTGGGCTGTGCGGGGCTATAGGTAAGGCTCTGAAGGGGTCCCCACCTGCTCAGTGGGGCTCTGGGGCCCCGGCCTGCCAAGCCTTTTTACCCTTGGACTTGGGACTAATCTGGGGGCCTTGGAGAGCCACTAGGGGGTTAAACCCACCAGGTCACCCTGGCACCAGGCACTCCCACTGTCTTCTGGGGTGCTCTGGGGCTGCCCCCTCCCCCCTCGCCTGGCAGCACCCCAGCAATGCCTCTGGCACCGCCCCACACCTGGCTTCAAGCAGAGTCCCACACCATGCGTGCCAGGAGACACAGCACAGCTTAACTGGTGTCTTCTCTGCAGGGTGGGGTCGAGAGCTTTTTCTCCTCTCTGCCACCTGCCTTCTCGGGACCAGCCTTTTCAGGAGCAGCTGCAGTAACTTTAACAAGAAACCAGTAAGCCCCTGCCCAGAAAGCTGAACAAAGCGTGTCCATACTTCACCAGCCCGCTGCTCGAGGCCTGTGTCCGCCCTGGGGTCAGGCTCCGCTGCCCCACCACCGGCAGGGCTGTCCAGCTCCGGCTCCTCAGCCTGGGGAACCTCCTTTATGGGCCCACGAGCCGGTGTCCGTGGGTGGGGGGCGGAGCCCGAGGTGATCTGGTGGTGACGTATCTGCTCACGTTGGGGCAGCCTCCGCATGGCCAGCGGCTCTTCTGCAGCTTTGGGTGGGTCTGTGCTCACCTTTTCCTGCCGGCTCTGCCTGCTCAGTGTACCTGCGAGGCCCTGCCAGTGCCCGCCACAGCTGGGCAGCGAGGCGGGCCTGGGCACCACCTGCCCTGGCAGGCACCGGGGAGCAGCTGCTGGAGGCCGGGCCTGGGGCCTCCCACCAGGGCCCTCAGGGCGTGTCCCGGGGAAGCTGCGCCCGGGAGAGCCTGCATCTCGGGCCTTGCCTCTGCCTGCCTTGATCCACACGAGCCAAGGAGTCGGGACCAGGACCCTCTGAGTCTTCTGATCCTTCTGCCACCCAGAAGGGGGTTCTCAACCTCGGCTCTGCTGACGCCGGGGCCAGATCCTGCTCTGTTGGGGGCTGGCCTGTCTCCCTGGCCTCCAGCGCTGGCTGCCAGCAGCACCCTCCACACTGTGATCTCAAAGTTGTCACGGCCAAGTGTCGCTGGGGACGAACTCTCCCCGCTGAGAGCCGGAGATCCCGAGTGGGGAGTGGAGGTGGGGGGCGTGCGGGCGCCAGCCGGGGAGTCTGCGGGGCCCGGCACCAGGCCGCTGGCGGCCGCCAGAGGACACCCTGGCAGGGCCGCGGCGGCGGGGTCAGGGCACACAGTCTCGCGTGTGCTGGCAGAGTGTCCTGGCAGTGCGTCAAGCATCAGCCGTACCTCAATAAAGCTGTTTTTTTCAAATGTATTTGAATTGTTTAATGTTCCAGGGCTTGCAAGGCATTATTTTTAGAATTTGCTGATGTGAAATAGCCTATTTCTTCACCATGTCAGATAAATGGGGGGACACCGCTGTCCCGGGGGGAGAGAAATGCCGGTGGGCCCCGCAGGGTGGGCCTGGGGCTGACCGGGAGCAGGGGACGGAGTGTGGAGACGTGGCCGGCACCCCGCCCCCGCGGTGCTGCCAGGCCAAAGTGTCTGGGGCCCTATGACCAGCGGCTTGGGAAAGTAAAATAACATCCAGGAAAGGCGCGGACGATTCTGGAAGTCACAGGTCTCTGCTGCTTTCATCCCTAAAGCTGAGGAAGGCTGTGCATACCTGGCAGTGCTGGAGCCTCTGGGGAGCAGGGGCATTGCAGGAGCCCAAGGGGTGCATTGGGTGGGGTGGGGCACGCCTGGGAGGGAGAGCTGGGGGCGGCTCGGCAGCCCTGGGGGCCTCTCGCTTGCTTTTCAGTGGATGGGGGGGAGCTCCGAGGCTCCCAGGGGTTGGAGGGAGGTTGGGGAGGGGAAGGCTTGGAGGGACAATGAAAGCCTCTGGGGCCCTCAGACACTGCCTGAGCCCCTGGGGTGCAGACCCTGCTCCCAGCTCCAGCCGTGCTTCTTGAGGGCAGCAGACAGCAGCTCAAGAAGCCGGTCTCCGAGAGAAATTCTGAAGTAATCCAGAGAAGACACAAACAGGGAAGCAGGGTTGTGCCAGGGTGATCAGGGGAGGCTTCTCGGAGGAGGTGATATTGGAGGATGAAGATAAAGTGTGAAGTTCTGGCGAGAGGCGGCCCAGTCGTGAGCTCAGAAGCTTCTGGGGAGCAGTGGGGGCAGCAGAGAAAGGAGGTGAACACGCACCCCAGGCAGCAGGCGGGTCCTGCGGGGGTGCAGTCAGGCTCTCACGGAGTCCACGCAATGGGCCGCTCCGGAGAACTGTGCTGTCCACAGTGAGGGCTTGTGAGGATGGAGGTGGGGATGCGCCTGGACCTCCAGGGTGGGAGGCGCCCTGGGGACACAGGTGGGGGCAGGCGCAAGGAAGTCAAGCCGTGGTCATCCCAGGAAGCAGGGCCCCGGAGGACCGGGGAGGGCGACCAGGCCGGGGTGGCTGGGGTGGCCAGTCTGGGGGCTCACTGCAGGCGTGGGGGGCCCCAGGTGTACCTCCCAGCCGGCAGGACCCTCAGGCCTGGAGCCCGTGCAGGCGCTCAGCCTTGTCTGCACATGGTGCTGTCGCCCTCACAGCCCAGAGGCAGCACTAATTCTACCCCCACCTTCTAGTTGGG